AATTTGATGGAAATTTCTTAGACCGATTTTCGCTCGACTTGCCCGCGTAGATTCGTTCGATTTTCCGTAACGATCGCCTCTTGTGGACGGCTGCGTTTCCGGCTTTGCGGTCGCGAATCTTCAAGCCACGACTTCCTTTCTTCTCTCTCTCTCTCTTTTTCTTTTGTGCACACGCCACACACACATGCACGGTGTGCACCGGGGCCGCGCAAGGGAAAGTCAGCGCGGTCTCGGCTTCGCGTCGGCCTCCTCTCCGTGATCCAGAAGCCGGGGCCGTCGCTCTAACGCGAAACAGATGGCCGGAAGGGAAAGGGGGTCGCGGATTATTTCTGCATCGACGGTTTTATAGCTTGAAAATACTCGCGGTTCTGTGCCACTCTCCTCGCCGCCCTCGCGGAAGGGATAATGAGGGGGGGGGGGTAAAGGCACCGGAGAACAAGGAAACAAGATGTCATGAATATACAGGGTGTAATAGACGTCACGTAGATCCCTGAAATGGATCAGTCGTGGGGTGATTTGGAACAAATTTTTCATTAACAAAAACATTATCCAAAGCTTTGTTAACGAGATATTAACGAAAAACCCCGACCAATCAGAGCGTGAGTCTACCGGCCGAGCTCTGATTGGTCGGGGTTTTTCGTTAATATCTAAAGTGGAAGTGGGAGCTGAAAACTGCTATTCATGGCAAAGTAAACGGAATTTAATTCAGATCTATGAGATTCAAGAAGGTTAAAAGAACTACCGTTGCGATAAACCTAAGGTTAAGTTCTCGTCTCTCCGAATAGAGCATTCTTTCCTTTTAGAAAAGATTGTCACAGGTTGTTGGAAAAACAGGAGGAATTCTGCTGAAACCATCAGAGGTATTCGACTCGAATGAATCGAAATAGTTCATTCTAACAAGCTTGTCTTTTCATCGAGTTACTGAAATTTACTTGTAGTCTGGTCTCCGTAGAACGATGCGATTCTTACGCAAAAACCGATGGAACTTCATCGATCCGACGGCGAACGCCCAGCCGAGGAAACGAGAAGCTCCCCAAAAAGTTAATACAGTCGGAGCCGCGTTGGGGCTGGAGGGAAGTTCGGAAAGTCCTCTCGACGACAAACAACGGTAACGGGAAGTTCCCGAGGAACGAGAGGAAACCCTATTTGCTTATTCCAACGGCGTGAATGAGCGAAGGAAGCCAGGGGGGGGGGGAACTGTACCGATAATAAACGGCGTTACTGGCCGACGTCGATAACTTTATTAATATCCGCGGTGTGCCCCGTGGGTATACCTACAATGCGAAATCCACGTCGTTGTACGGGATTAATATCGGATGCGATCGACTTCTTTGAATTGTCTCTGCGTAACACAAATACAAACAATCGTCGATTCTTTTGGTATCAATTTTATCCCTTTATAAAACGTATTCGAGGTGTCTGAACATTATGTTGATCGATTGTTACGTGGTTCATTGCCGTAGACACAACGTTATCTTTGGATTTTAAGGTATGCAACTAGGTTGATTTCGTACACTCAAATGTTGTTCTTCAATATGAACGTAGCACAGGTACGAAGTTGAATGTTGTTTCGATAAAGCTATTCCGGGGTTAAATTATTCTTTTGTAGGGATTGTATCGATTTCAGAAACACAAAAGCAGCTCGCCCTCGATGCATATTCCCTGGTGGATCCAAGTTGAGCACAATTTTATTCGTATATATAACGGATAGCGAAAGGCAAGAATATTTAAAAGGATCATTTTGACCTTCGAACATTTAATCAGATTAAATAATGGTTAGTCAAGTATTTCTACCCATTTAAAAAGAATTATTTTATTATAAAAATTGAAATTTTCGCGTTAATTAAGTTGACACGGATGAAGTACTTTTTTTTAATAATTGTTTACTCATTATTCGATACTCTTTATCCGGGTAATGAATTTAACCATCTCTGGACCCAAGTAGATAACGTGCAACAAGGGAATCTTCCATCTCACTTTGGAGAATATACGTCCACTTGAGAAATGCAAAGGCTTTCCTCCCTCGATAAACGTTCCTCGACAGACCTAAGTCAAGTAGCCTGTAACAAAGTAATACTCTACGCACTTCGGTGATCGATCACCACAAGAGTAGATAAATCTTCAATAGGAGAACCTTCTCACTTTGGAGAATTCATATTCACTCCAGAAATGCAAAGGTATTTCTCGCTCGATAACTGCTTTTCGGCAGATTCAAGTCAATAGTATCTAACAAAGTAATGTTCCACATGCTTCGGTGATCGACAACAATGCTGTTTAGTCACTATCTATCCAATTCGAAGTGCCCAGCCAAACCTCGATCGGAGTATTCGTTGAATATTCACGCAACAGAAATAAATCATTAAAATGCACTCCGTCGTTTAGTGAACGCGCGCCGCCCGAGGGGCTGACCCGACGCGCTCTCGTATTCGACCAGCCCCCACCTCCGTAATTATGTAACACCGGTTTGAATTTGTTAACGAGTCGCTTTCATTATCGCGCTCATTAAGGCTTGCCGCCGTGGCTGTCATTGTCCTCACGAGAGAGGTATATATATATATAACATATATATATACGCCCTGGCAGAGCGGGGCAGCCGCCACTTTCCGAGTCGCAAATCGATTCTAATTGAATGACAGTTTAACGGTGAAATTAACGTGGCCACGCACGGACAGCAAAAGCATCGACGAAAGCGGATTACACGATCGCAGCAGCGAGACACGCTTTCAGCCGCGTTTTAACATTCATCCAAACAGAAGAGCTTTTGAGGTTCTTTTATTATTTCATAATGAAAAATATAATAATAAATATAATGAATAATTAAAAAGTTAATATTACTATTTTACTAAATAAACAAATTGGATTAGGAGTAAAATACTTATTACTAATTTCGGCTGTTCTGTACTGAGAGCCTCTCAAGCTCTTATGTTGATGAAGGTTAAATTATGCGAGAGCCATTTGAAAATATTTATAACGTCGGTTTCATTGCAAGAATCGACCATCAAGTGTCTCTTTAGTAGTTATAGGTTAGATTTTTATTATTTAGAACAAGTAAGTAAATATTGTCCTAGCACTTTTATTTCAATTAACCGTCTGCAGAAACCGTTTGAATTTTATGCTTTTTTTCTCGCAAACGAATCATTACACATTGGTTTGTTATAATATATACGCATTTCAGTAATTTAATATTTAGTTTCTCGTTTACTGAGACAAAACGCAAAAATTCAAGCTCGGGGTGAATTGTAAGAAATTGCTCGGGGCAAAATGTAACATATTACTACTTAGCCCGATCTAACTGGTAATAAAGCAAACTTGCTATTTGCTGAAATATTATTTATTTTTAGGATGAGACCATACAAGAAAAAAATAGGAATATGTTCTACTTCTAAAGAAGATATGGAAACTGCACTAACAGAAATATTCCTTGTATCTGTCACAGTGAATATCAAATGTATATCAAATGTTTAATAATGATATGCGTTTTCATTTATATTTTTTGGAAATATTTATTTTTGTTCATATTTGTGTTTAACTAAATAAAACAGACGTGTTACAATTTACCCCGGGCTGAGGCACATTGTAACAAAAGTTCAGATTTGTTTAAGATGAACTTAGATGTCTAAGTATCAAAGATCTTGTCACATATTTACACTCAATGAGTTGAGACCAAATATATGAGCAGTAAGTCGCGCAAACTATTTCCTGATTGAAGAAAACGCTCTCGAGAAAAAATTATGAAAACTTTTATTGTTACAATCTGCCCCGGTCTCCCCTACGCTAGAAAGGAGCTCGAACGACGTTAGACCGCTCGATGTAAGGCCCCCAACCGATGTTTCGGCTAATTGCCGCGAGCTGGAACTATCAATTTTTGTCGTCAAGAATTCGAGAAGCGTTTTATTTTCTTATTTTCGGAGCATTCTAATTTGCAGGCGCACGCGACGAACGCCGCCGTGCGGATCGTTGCTAACTTCCTTATTGATTTTCCCTGTCGCCGGAGGTGTAAGTTTGAGTTTTAAAGGAGGACACGCGTGTCGCGTGTTCTCGGGAAAAATACGAACGACAAATCGATGTGGAACGGGTGGGGGTGACATGGAGACACGACCCCAAAAGAGCGCGAGACACTCTCTTGACGATGAAAGTGGGACCGTTCGATTATATGTCACATAAAACTACAACAAATCCAAACGTCAATATAATCCTAAATATTACTAAAAAAAAGTGTCCGATTTTCCGTGTAATGGTTACAAAGGGCAGCGTCACCTGTACAGGGTGACCCAAAATAGTTGTAAGTCCTTGAAGGCTGGGATTCCTGGGGTGATTTAAAACAATTTTTTCCTTGACGAAAAACTTCTCCGTGGCTTTGTCAACGAGATATTAACGAAATACTCCGACCAATCAGAGCGCGAGTCTGCCGGTTGAGCTCCCGTGGCAGCCTTGGGTATGCGCTGCGATTGGTATTCAATGCTACCGCGGGAGCTCAACCGGCAGACTCGCGCTCTGATTGGTCGGAGTATTTCGTTAATATCTCGTTAACAAAGCCTCGGAGAATTTTTTCGCTAAGGAAAAAATTGCTTTAAATCAACCCAGGAATCACTCCTTTGAAGGACTTACACCTATTTTTGGACATCTTTGCATATGGTTGACGGTCATATTGGCTGGACACGAATGATCGAAGTAGGTACATACAGCGATTCTTCGATGAATGCGACACGAGCAACGCTGGTATACCCACCACTGGGGGTCGACTCCCTGTGGAATCAATCAAAACAGAGTAAACAGAAGCTAAGCAGAGGCTCGACTTTAGACAAAAAACAAATTTATGAGGGAAAACCTTTTTTCCTTGCCATAAAGGATCCGAAGTGGACTCGAGTATGTCGCACTTATCGAGACATTACTGTATTTAGGACAATCCGTGACCCTGATAGGATTTTGTTGTGTTAAAAAATGTTATCAAAACCTGAAAACTACATTACGGTAATTTTCTGTATTTTTTCTTTGTTCAGATGGGCAAACAGTACCGACGCTATGCGAGCTCGCGGCGCGTTGCGTGGCGTCGCATATACCGTTCGAGCTGGTGGAGCATGTTTATCCACCTGTCCCGGAACAGCTTCAGCTTAGGATAGCGTTCTGGAGTTTCCCGGACAACGAGGAGGACATCAGGCTGTATTCATGTCTGGCCAACGGGAACGCGGATGAATTTCAACGGGGCGAGCACTTTTTCCGACAGAGGCTCGTGAAACATCCCTTACAGATTGGTAAGTAATCGAATCCTATTGGATCTTTATTATCGTTCGTTGATCCACTGTTCTCGTTCGTAAGCTGATCAGCAGAAGTACAGGTTGATAACATCTTTATCGATCAAACTGATAACTTTTCGCGATAAATCTCGGATTCGCGTTAATCGCGAATACAAATCGTCGCTCTAGTTTTTAATTTGTTCTATCTCCACTAGTTTCTCAATTGAGAAAACTGAATTTACAGTTAACGAAGTTTAATATTATAGAATCAGGGAAGTAATTAAATAATCAAACACACTATAATATCATGTACTGAATATCTACTTATGACAATATTTAACAAAATTTTATCTTATTATCAAGATATATTTTTAATTATTGTTAGTATTTGGAGGTACAATAATTAAGAACGAAAATGTCAAAGTTTCAAAGTTAGGACTTAATAGAACTTTTTATCGTTTCCTGGGTTGAATTTCTTTGTTATATTATGTTGAATTTGTTTTCTTTGCACCAATGAGACGCACGTAGGTTGATTAACTAATTTTTTTTTTAAAACAGAGTTAGAACAGTTAAGAACTCGTTAGACGAAGTTTCTTAATCGATACTATCTGGTACTATCCCACGGATAATTCCGTCAGAGATCAAGAAAATATTATTCCTGGTGAAACTACACACAGGTTGCTTCGAAAAATGATTAGGAGCTCTTCGTCTTTTTGTGTCTCCATACAAAACTCTTTCAAAATAGACTTAGGGATATAACTTTGTCACTGACTCGGATATAGTCAGTTTCGCAGGCGCGGTTATTGGCTCCCAGAACTCCTCGGCGATGTGCTCTACCCCTCCCGTCGACAAGGTATCACGATTTCGGAGCTTTTGAAAGTTGACCAGAGCCTTTTACAGGCGGGGGGGGGGGCATTGTGGAAAGTTCTTCCGCGAGCGACGACGTATAGTAGCCGGTGCGCGGGATTCGCCTGAAGGCTTCCCCTTTAGACGGGAACCATAGAATAGACATAATTGGAAACCTGACCCTGACGTTTCCCTATCCTCAAATAGTGTCGCAAGTATCCTCTCTCTGTCCCTCCTCCACCCCTACTCTTTGTAAACTGACGTTGAAATGAATTTAATACCGGATCGATGGAAGGAAACGAGTGGGACAGAGCCAACGGGCATGGAATTCTTGGATCAATTAGCGAGGGAATCCTGCGTCGCGTAAATTCCAATTGCCTAAAAAAAAAAAAAAAAAAAATTATAGGTGGGTCGAAGTAGACCGAAGAAAGATCAGAAGGGGTAGGAGAACGTTTCGAGCACTTTCATCAATTATGCTCGATTTATTGTTTGTTTCGCGAGATACCGGTTCTCAAAGACTCCAGGGGAGGGCGGCGGGGCTACTTGGTCCCCATGAATTACGAACGGAACAATTCCGTTTCTCTTTCCGTGGATCCATCCGGTAAAGCAGGAATTTAATCCTTAACTTTATTGTTTGACCAAGATGTTCCTGGACGGTTAATTTCCTTGGAGCTAATTCACGTCTCATTTTCTATATACATAATACGGGAGACGTCTTGGCCCACTTTGTGTCTCGTCTCTGTTAGCGATCCACCTCTGCCCTGGGGCGTTGTTTCTTAATGCACGCGAAATGACGCCTTTATCCGTTTTCGCGCTGGCAGACGACGACGGGTCCTTTCTACCTTCGCTCGTGGTCCCGACGGCAGAGCACCTGAAATTGTCCTGCGAGCAGTTTCCCCTCGTTCGATGCTCCCGTCAGTCACGGATCTCGATGCTTTTTGGCAGTGGTTCTGTTCAGCTGACCAATTAAAAAAAGCATTTGATTGGCGAACAATGAACCGTAACATGAGTAGGTTCTATTTTAACGATTTATGACCTGAGGGTACTTTGTAGTACCATTTATATTACAATAAAATTGTTGTCATGAACCTATGGGCTTAGAACTCGGCTGGGACTTATAAGTAACTAGTACTTCTTCGAAGTCCTCTGAGATCAGAGTTGGGCACCATTTTATTCGAACAAAATATAATTAGAAGAAGCTGTATTTACGATCGCCAACCTGTCCTTGAAACAATTAATTAGATTAGATAATTATTTGCCAAGTGTATATTCGTTTGAGAAGAAGTACTATGTATTTCATTACAAAAATTGGAATTTCTTTATTATAAAAATTGGACTTTACCAACACAACTTGGGCAACTTTTCACTTATATTGTATACCTTGAAGGTTTGCAACTTTAACTGTTTGTGTCCTCAAAATTATCGATTGTCTACACCTAGTATGTTACATACAACATTAGGAATCTGTATACTATCATTTTACAAAACTCTGTTAGACTCGAAGTCAGACAATTGGAGTCCTTCCCTTGTTCGTAGAAAGTAATGTCTGGAACGAAGGTCTCATTCGCGTCTACCCCAAAACTGTACCCCAAAACAGGAATTTCGCGAATAATCTTTGATCGAACAATTTTACATTAATTTGTGAATCGTTCGCTTAAAATGGAAACGCCAGAGACACATCGATCCAGATCTTGTGTGAATGTAACGAAAGATGATTGTGCTGTTTTACTTTTGTCAGGTTTCCACCTGAGCGCCAGCGTGAACTCGCCAACGTTGATGAGCAGCGTCAAAACGCAGTTTAACGTCGCGGTGACGTTCGACCGACGGAAGATCACGTCCTGCACATGCACTTGCTCGTCGAAGGCCTATTGGTGCGCCCATGTGGTCGGCGTGTGCCTTCACAGGATACACATGGTAAGAAATAATCACCATGGCAATTAAGGGGTCTCCCTACTGGGACGAGTAAAAAATTAGGAGAATGTATATTACATGACGTATAAATGTTCTTATCAATCATTTATACGTCATGTAATATACACAAAAATACAATAGGATATTTCTTCGGTAATTTTTAAATAATTTGGAAACGAAAGGGTTATTCAATCGCGGCTCTGACACCCAACGTTCTTTTCACAGCCGACACAGGTGTGCCTAAGGGCGCCGGTCAGCGAGTCGTTGTCACGTTTGCACCGGGAACAACTGCAGAAGTTCGCCCAGTATCTGATCAGCGAGCTGCCGCAACAGATACTGCCCACCGCCCAACGTCTTCTCGACGAGCTGTTATCCGTGCAACCAAGCACAATAAACAGCTACTGCGGCGCGCCGGATCCAACGGCTGGTCCATCCGCCCACGATCAGACGTCCTGGTATCTGGACGAGAAAACGCTACACGACAACATCCAGAAGATCCTGATCAAGTTCTGCGTCCCTGCTCCGATCGTCTTCAGGTGACTAGCTCGAATCGTTGATTGGTCAGTTGACCTTTGTATCACTTGACACCTAGGACAATAAGGAACAGTTCCATTTGACCCTAAACGGATTCTGTAATCCGTACATCACGTGTTATAGGGCCACTTCCTCTGTAAAATGGCATTCCGTCGACTTCGATGATCGTAGAGAACTAAAAATATTACGCCCCTGTTTAAAGAAGCTCACGATTATCTTGATGTGGTTCTGTCGTGACAAGTTTTGTAGAGTGGAATAGACATCGAAGGATCGGGATCCCTCAGTGATGTTAAGTAAAGTTTGGGAATTAGGAGAAACAGGAAGACACCTTGGCTCAGGTGGCTAAGACAAGGTCTGGCCAATAGAGGCTCCAAAGAACGTCTCCTTTTTTTCCTAAGTCCCTACAATACGTTCTTCATCATTCCATCATCGTAGAATGAAATGAATAGAAATACATTGATGTATGAACAAATCGTGGTGACTGTAACACTCAGCATCCTGTGAACCTGATCAACAGTTTAACATTCGACTCCGTGAAAGTCAGGCAAATCCAGACGCAAGCTCTTTAATCTTTTAATTAAGGGACTATGCTAGTGTGACAGTTTCAGAAAATCGGATTTTTCTTTTTTGCAATTTGCAACAATTTTTTGAGGAAGAGGAAGGTGTTTTATATGGCCCGGAATAAGTGATTAGCTGTAAGTATGAAACATTTCTCTTTTTATGCTCTAAAACAGTACTTAAAACTTTGATCGCGTTTTTCTCGCAGCTACTTTTTCTTAATCGGCGGCCATGATAACTTAAAAACTAATTGACCGATTTAGTTCAACCTTGGCATATCTGTTCATCAGATGTGTCATTCTAGCTCGTACCACGAGTGTTTCGATATATTAAAACTGACAAATTTACGGGTTAAAAAACCAGCCATTTTTATGTAAATAAATTAAACCTTTTGTTTGGGAAGGCGTCATTTTTTTATTTCTCAAATTTTTAATATTATTCTGGTACGGGCTATAGCCACACACATACAAATTAAGAAAATATTCGTTTTTTTTTATTTCACACAACCACAAGAATCTATACTATGGCCGCCATGGAAAGGGAATTTCGTTAAGTCGCTCTCACAAACGAACTATAACTTTTAAAAAATACACTGTTTCTACTTTATAAAAATATAGCATACTTTACAAATATTATTTAGTAAATATACATATATTATTCAAATTGATAAGTTCAATAGTTTTTCTTAAAAAATTCCCAAAAATTGCCTTACTATATAGCCGTCACACTAGCATAGTCCCTTAAAAAGAACCCCCCCCCCCCCGCCCCTACGTCATCGATCGCCGTCCCGCGATCTATCGTGTTCCATCGGGACTCGACCGATTGGCAACCCTCTTGATTGCAGCGACGTTAATTACCTGAGCACCACCGCGCCACCGGCAGCTGCGGAATGGTCCTCGTTGCTGCGCCCGTTACGGGGACGCGAACCAGAAGGGATGTGGAATCTGTTGTCGATCGTACGAGAGATGTTCAAACGTAACGATCGCAACGCGATACCGTTGCTGGAGATTATCACCGAGGAGTGTATGGCGTGCGAGCAGATACTGGTCTGGTGGTTCAACACGAAAGTCGCGTTGCTGAACGGGACCGGTTACGGTGGCAAGCACAACATGAACAGCAACGTGCACGCATCCCAGCACGCTTGTTCGTCCCTGTGCGACGAGATCGTCGTGCTTTGGAGACTGGCCGCTTTGAATCCCGGCCTGTCGCCGGCCGAGCGTGACATGCTTCACAATCGGTTCTCCGCCTGGCACATGAAGATCATCGATAAGGTAAGCGGAGATAGAGCTGTGTGGTGTGATCCTTAAAACGATTTTGTTGCCCCACTGGATCGATTCATTGTCCTGCGATCTTGTCCTGAAACATTCGTTTCGGTTCCTCTGGGTTTGGAGCAGAACTTTAATTTAATTTAATTTAATTTATTGCCATTAACGGGAAGACCCGTTTTATACAAAAGTTTAACAAGAAAAAAGCATCGTATAACACTATTTGTAGTAATTTAAATATACATGTACATGTTACTCTCGCAATAACCTGTTACTAATTTTATGTAAATATGTAGTGTCAGCAGCAATACGTCTATCTTCAAGGAAGTTGATTTTGAATTTGGTCATTATTCTATTGTAGTTGTGGTCATTGTATTTCATGGGTGTGTCCGTTATGAAAGAGAGGAAACGTAAGAATTTATGCTGGATTCTTTCGAGAAGGACGCAGTGTTTAGTTGTATAAGGTGACCAAATTGTTGAAGCATATTCATGGGGTAGAACTAATGATTTATAAAGGTGTAGTAGGGTTTAGGGATTTTTGAATTGCTCACCGGCACGCTTTATGAATCCGAGCATTTTTAACGAAGAAGTTGTAACGTGTATTATGTGAGTGTCGAATGAAAGTTTGTTAACAAAAATTACTCCGTGGTCGCGAACGCTGGTTAGAGTGGCCAATTCAGTGTTAAATACTTTATATTGAAAATAAGTAGGGTTCTTACTACGACAGAATCTGATTAGGTGACATTCGGATATGTTTAGTTAAAGAACTGTTAAGTATTGGGATATTCGAATAATTCGAATAATTTCGAATATGAATAATTTATTCGAAGAATTCTGTGAATGGGTAGCGGACAATAAAGATCCAAGTGGGGCAAGTTTATCATCTCTGTGTCGACACAGTGTGACCATCCCCCCTCCCCTCTTTGTTGTTTAAGGTGAGAAAGAGCCGGGGCAATTCGGTGTCGCTCAATTCACACAACAAGAACAACAGCGGCGGTCACAGGGACTCGTTGAAGAACGATCTGACCGTTTTCACCGGGTTCAAGTCGGCCCTCGAGGCCTGCTACCTAGATTGGGAGGAGTACACGTTGCCAGGTATCACGTACACAGCCGGAAGCAATCCCATGTATCATTGTCCGTTCACCTGTTTCCGGCATGTCGGGGATACCAGGACCGAAGTGAATCAGGTTAGCCCTTTCATCATTTGGTGTCCATAACGAAACTAATAAAACTTAGAAACAGGGACTTCTACCAAAATGTAAAATACCGGTATTTTCGGTTGAACCTTCGCCCTATACAACCCTATGTAAGCCCTACCCTTATAGAAACCGAAAAAATACCGGTATTTATTTCGGTTTTATATCAGTTTCGGTGTAGTTTTGATGGTATAATACCAGTATCAAAATCATTGCGGTTTAAGTCCCTGCTTAGAATCTATACACCGTTCCATGAGAGAAAGGACTCGCTTGCGGATCAGATTTCGTAGGCTTTACGCAGTTCACTCCTACTTTCATTAGTCACTGTCTCTGTCCTCCACTGTGCTTATCCACATATCCTCAGCAAGGCTTTTGAAGGTCCCTCTATTAGCCAATAGGTCCCTCTAGGAGAAAGGCAGATCCTCCTTTGGTACTTGGCCTATTCACCATTTGCTGTGGAAAACACAGTTGGGGCAAGCTGCGAGGAAAAGGTCTCTTCTATCGTGGAACGGAGTTTAGTTACTCAGCGCTGGGCCCTTCATGCGCTTGGTTCAATCTTCCTTTTGCGTCATTTGTCTTTGTAGATAAAAAACTCAAGACTCTTGTGTCTGCTACTTCATAGTAACAGGAAATGGTGGTGGGGACAGCGTTTAGCTCCAGGGAGTCAATTTAGCCCAGCGCTGTAGTAGAGGAGGTGATCCAAATACAAGGCTAGGGTCTAAATATGGGATAGTTTAAAGTATATGGTCATGTTAGGTGCTTCATCCTGGGCAGCAATAGTGTGAAACTACACGACTCAAGAATAAAAGAAGCTTATTTTAACTCCATATCATGAAGCAAAGTATGTTTTAAATACATTAAAATGTTAAACGCCCTATAAGCGACATGATTTGTCGTACAACTTATCGGTACAACATGCAGCCCCTGGCCATATTAACGTGATCACTTGTCTACATTGAACAAAATCTAATCAACACCAGTTTTTGGAAACATAACTGGAACAAACTTCGAACTTTGCAACTTGAAAAACGAGCGACTTTTTCGCAAGACTCCGCCATTTTGTTATTTTTCAATATTTTTTATTCATTCTAGTACGGACGATAGCCACGTTTATACAGATTAAGAATCTTTCTCAATTTTTGATTTGAGGTAACGTAGATAGTTGATATAATGGCATCCATGGAGGCACCCCTTTTTAAGTAGTCCCGGAAAATTACAATAACTGTTAATCAGTATTAAATTTTCAAATAAAAAAAATTAAGCTTATCCTATTAGTTTATACAAATTCATATAAAAACGTTCAACATCGGTATACCTCAGTTTGTTCTAAAAAAAATTCCTGCATTTCGCCTAATTTTTGACTCGTCACAGTAGGGAGACCCCTTATAGATCTTCAAAAGGTTTTTGGCAGTATGTCCTGAAGTAAAAGTGCCAGCCCATATTTCGACCACCTCCTCGAACCGAAAGAATCAGAGTAAGAGATGAAGATCATCGGCAATTTCGTGGTTTATAAAGCAAGGGTTGTTTAAACAGGTGAACTCGAGCGCAGCCGTGTTGAATTGTCAGCCGCCAGTGTTGTCCCATCATCACGGTAGACGAACGTTGAATCTCGGCCTGGTGGAGTTCAGTTACTTGGACCGAAGACGATTGAATGCAGGTGATTTCGCGGGTTTGTTCAGGCGAAGCGGCGGCAGGGACGGGAACCGTAGCAGCGTCAGTTCGGAGGGTTTCTGCGAGAATGAGACCGACATGGCCGATATAACCGAGCCTCAAGTTGTTCTCGTCAGACGATGTTGCGTTCAACTAAATAATTGCGGGGACACGGATTCACAGGTTCGTTGCTGACTGGAATTGCATTTTGTTGTGTAATCGATCCTATTGTGTTCGCCAAACCCCTGGTTACTTGTATCCAGATATTATAAGAAGAAAATTCTGTTGAAATTACGGTAAATGCACGATGAGTGTTCGAAGGCTTTTCGGTACTGAGCATGAACTATTTCATAAACTAATGGCCGTATGCGGCTGAAACAAATGTCATTTGCTTCAAAATTCCAAGCTCTTTCAACTGAGTCGAACCTTATTAAAATGTCAACGTTACACCTGGGGACTTCTACTTATTAGTACCGTGGATCCTTTTGAACATTCATCGAGGATTCACTGTACACTGTTCAACACGTGAAACACCTCATAAACGTTAATAGGCGTTTTGCGTTAGTTTTTTATGAGCTGAATAGGAATCTGCAAACCGTTTTTCCCAGCACGTTCAGTTTTTGAAACAATCAATTTTTTTTAAATTGTAAATTTTCAACTCTAGTGGTGCTTTTACAGTGATAGTTATTCAGTTTTTTTTCTGACACGATATAATTCAATACGATACAAACTTTTTATATTATTTTGAAGTACAGTTTATTACTTTATGTTTCTCATAACACATCATTTAAGTGTCTACCTCGACTTTGTGCACACGAGCGAATTCGATGAACCCCATTTTCGACGATTTTAATATTAATGTTGAATATTAATGCATAAAGGATTCGTGGTTTGTTTGCGTAGACCATAGATTTCAACTAATCCCACAAAAATGAATCTAAAGGAGTTAAATCACAACTTCTTGGAGGCCAACTAACAGTGGCATTTCTTGAAATTATCTTGGCATTAGCCGCAAATAACGTTTCTGAAGCGTGTATTTAGCCATGATAAATTGTCAGAATATACTAAAGACAAATGACAACTATAGTGACAGTTATAACATTTTAAACATGGTTGCCATTTCATTTCAAAATCCTATCATTCTAATTGTAAAACCCTTTACATTCAACGGAATTGTAGACACCCGTTGAACGTATGCTATATCCATCATGGATGAGTATATTCAATTGTTTCCAGGAGGGTGGTGGCAGCGAGTCGTCCTCCAACAGTAACGTCAGCATGAAGAATGCTCAAGATTCGGAGAAGCACCGCTCAAACGCCTCGTCCGATACTCATAGTGATAGTAGTGATAGTAGTAATAACAAAACTGCCACGGATGTGAAGCGCGGCAGGACGAATCTCGACTACCGTGAGAAATCACGCGCGGCCCCGAAGCCGGGGAACAGCTCGAAGAACGAGCAGGAGTCCGATATGGAGAAGGACCCGTCCAGACGACCGTCGAAGGACGAGAGTTCGTCGTCTAGCAGCGACAGCCCGTCCGGCGACGAGTATCACGTCTATTATTACGACCCGAAAGCCGTGGCTAGTACAAACGGCAACTCCGGCAAAGACTTCAAGAACGACCCGCAGGCGTCCGGCGCGCCAAACGCGAGCACGGTTCTGGGTAACTTAATGAAGATGGAGGACCCGTGGGACATACTGTTCGCCAGGGCGGAAGGGCTTTACGCTCACGGACACACGCGACAGGCGTGTATCCTCGGTGTGCAACTCGGCGAGGAATTGTTAGCCAATCCGCCGAATCTCATGATCGACGAACCTCCTGTGCCTGTTAAAGGAAAGAAGAAAAAGGTATTAGTTGAACGAGCGTTGCGAGTAGTGAGTAGTCAACTTGCGGCACTTTTTTCACGAGTACTACTCCTTTCAGCTTTGACATTAAAAAAGAGTATTTCGCCCGTGTATTCTACTCGATTTGAATGTAGAGGGACATGTGTTCGACTTCAAGTGGGAAGCCTGGTGTATACGGGGTAAAATGAATGAATTTTTGGGAATTTCTTGTGAAGAATATTAGACCAATCTCTGTGAAATAATTGTACAATAAAGTATTCTCAAAGTTTCAAAGAGATTGGTTTAATACTTACTTCACAATAAATTCCTAAAAATTCGTTCATTATTAGCTGTTTACACCAGGCTGCTCCCTTAAGGGATCATGCCTAGTTAACAAGCCACAACAAACATTGCAAAAAACTAACGGATTTTGTTTACAACTAATACTTAATTAAAAAATGCATAGATTGTGCAACTTAGTGTAATTATTTTGTACCAGAATATTAAAAAATGAACGAGTAGATTTGTCTGAAAGTAAAGAGAAATTATTCGTGTTTCATGTAACTTAGAGAACTTCAAGTAAGTTAGAACCGTTGAAACCGAAAAATTTCGAATTGAGACTCAAGAAACGTAAGACTCGCAAAAATTGGATTCTGTATGTTCAGACGGTTAGACTGTTACTTGAACGTTACTCTATACATATTTCAGCAACCAGTAAATCCGGCGTCCCATCAGCTCACGTGCCTTGCGTCGGCTACCTTGGCCAAGTGCTGTTTCCTCTGCACGGTTCTCGCGGAGAATCCCGAGTATCACAATCTGGCGTTCCGAGTTGGTCTGTTCGGTTTAGAAATGGCCAGGCCACCTGCTAACACGAAACCTCTCGAGGTAACAGAGGTCTTGAACCTGCCTGGCTTCTTAGAAAGCATCTTTTAGGATGGAGTAGCTTTACGTATTCTCTTTTGTTCGTTTAGGTAAAATTGGCTCATCAGGAAAGCGAACTGGTGGGCCACTTAAAGAGGATCCCCCTAGGCCCAGCTGAGTTGGCCATGGTCCGACAGAGAGCCGAGCAGCTCAGGGACGGTGTATTGCGATCCAGGGGACACGCGTTGCTTCCGATCATGCTAGCCAGCTTTATATTCGACGCCCTGAACACACCAAGTACGAATTTATGCTCGTATTCTTTCTTCTCCGTCTGTATCTTGTTTTGTACCACACACATACATACATATACGCATATACACACACGAGATAATTGGAGTACAATTGGATGGTCATAAACATTAGGGTACAAGATAGTTCTTTCAGACAAGAGAGAGAGTTGAAATTTAAATGATAGTGGCAGAGAATAAAAAATTGTGGAATGATTCGCAGGAATAAAACACCTGCCCACAGACGTTGACGAGAATCTCGGATTCGACGCGGCTGTCACCGCCCTCGGGCTGAAAGCGAACGTTAGCGAGGCTGATCATCCGCTTCTTTGCGAGGGCACACGACGTCAAAGGTGATCTATCGATGTTATTATCTCGATCGGTTTGCAACATTATATTCCACTTAACTTGTTGCTTGTACAGAGGGGATCTGGCTATCACGTTGCTGGTCCATTATAAGGACGAGCCCACCAAAGTGGCCAGAATTATGGACAAGCTATTGGACCGGGATGTTCATCAGCTGATCAAGTCACCGATTCTGCCTAGCTACTATACCTCGAATCCGCCAACCAAGAGCGAGGTAAACAGCGTAAATTTTAGGATAACTTAAGGATAAGACTATACGGCAACTTCGTTACAAATTCTTCGGTTTATCCTCTTCATCTAGCATTTTATGTAACAAGGACTTCCATTTCCTTCAGATGGTCAGGTATCATCACGACGAAGAATGCTCTTCTCCTCTGGTCGGAACGGATGTTGGTAACGGTGATAGTGTTGTCGGTACTAGTAGCAGACCACACAGTAGCACCAGCGCGGAACTGAAAACCGGAATGAGTGCGCTCACGGTGCCTCCGCCGATTGTTCAACAAACTGTGCCTACTAGGACTAAAGAGACGAGGTTTGTGTGGACTTTATACTTTTGATTCGAAAGATACACGCAACCCGTGTGTATCAGTTTCTCTTACCTTTCTTTCTTTGTAGATACAAAAGTAAAAGGGTTTATCCATCCATTCCCAATCAACCATCCGAGGCGGGAGCTCACTTCATGTGCGAGTTAGCGAAGACGGTTCTGGCGAAAGCAGGCGGGAACAGTTCAACGTCGTTGTTTACCCAGGCGTCCACCAGCCAGAATCATCACGGTCCACACAGAGCCCTGCACATGTGCGCATTTCAGCTGGGCTTATACGCGCTCGGGTTGCACAATTGCGTGACACCGAACTGGCTCAGCCGTACGTATTCAAGCCACGTCTCTTGGATAACCGGTCAGGCGGTGGAAATCGGAGCGCCAGCGATTTGGTTCCTTATCGAGAGCTGGGAGGCACACTTAACGCCACCGGAAGCAGTCAGCATAGCGGACAAGTCGTCGAGAGGAAGCGATCCAAACATGGTCAGAGCGGCCGCGGAACTTGCATTGTGCTGTTTACCGCACGCTCACGCGTTGAATCCGAATGAGGTTCAGAGAGCAATGTTACAGGTATCTAATTCATTTTACAGCCGCCAGGAAAAAGGTGATGGAATGATGACAGTTCTCCATTTAAATGTGCCCGTTTTATTGCAGTGTAAGGAACAAAGCGAGATGATGTTAGAGAAGGCTTGCATCACCGTGGAGAATACTGCGAAAGGTGGTGGCGTTTATCCGGAAGTGCTTTTCCAAGTGGCCAAGTATTGGTATGAATTATATCTCAGGGTAAGTGGGTCGCAACAGAACGAATCAGCAAATGGGAATGGTTTTTTAGAATATTTATTGTCACATGGTATGCGTAGCACACACCTGGTGGAGAACAACAAGACGATATGCCACACGATCCATTACAGTTGGATCTGAACGGAGTGTTCATGGTGGAGCCTGGACCGCCAGTGGACATGACGACGGGGCAAATGATGCCAGGACCGGCTCAAGCTGTCGTTGTGATGCAGAATCTTAATTGCATACTCGTAATATTACAGAGATTTAATCTAACACATTTTTATGAATTATGTGCTTCATTTGCCGGTTACAGGAGTTCGTATGCCGTACGCAATGGGTCCTTACAGTTTCGTACATCCCTATCAACCCATCCCAACGTTCGGTGGACCGATGCCATCGCATAGGGTAACTCTACCGCCAGCACCACCGCACATGCAAATGTATCACGCGGCATTCCCCCGTCATCCGGGACATCCGCAGCATCCTCAACATCCGCACCACCCGCCGCAGTCCGCGCAACCACCAACGCTACCGCAATACTATACACCGCGACAACCACCACCGCCGGAAACTCATCATTTATTCACTATGCAACAACCTATGCCGGTTAACGTAGGTACTTTTGCATTTAATTTTCCATTCGTCAATTCAACGATGCACACGCAATGCGATTTCTACGCTTCCAGGTGCAACCAGGTGTAACCGGGCCAATTCCTGGACAGAGTAATATGCCTGGATCGGCAATGGTTCAAGCGCAGCCTATGATATCGACCGTGAGGGCTCAGCCTCAGGTAATTGGCGGTTTCTCAAATATGTCCATAATGTATAGACTTTCTAGGATTCACCAAAAGTTACACTCAATCCTGTCTTCGTGTCGGTTGTATATAGGTTCATAGACAAACACAACCGTTCAGTCAACAACAGGTTCGAGCTCTGGTCGCTGCCTATCGCGTGGGTATGCTAGCTTTAGAGACTCTAGCCCGGAGAGTACACGACGACAGACCACAAGCAAAGTACGCGCGAAATCCACCGTACGGAGAGGACGTTAAATGGCTGTTAAGAGTCTCGAAACGCCTCGGTACACAGTATCTCCATCAGCTTTGTATCTGCACCGTGAACAGCATCGTGAGCCCATTCGTTCTTCACGATGTCGTATTGGAAACGGCGCAATATTTAGCCAGAAACAATCCGGCCCTTGTGCTTCAACATTTGAGATCTAGTCTTCTCGCGCCCCTTGTTCACAAGTGCCAACAAATGTACGTGTCTCGCAACACGTTCGTTGAACGATTCGTAACGGAAATGGGGTGAATTATAATGGTCTCTGATGTTAATCTCAACAGGTACATCCAGTGCATGCATCAGAAGCTGTATCACTTAGTCGTTGGGGATTACGAAGAATTTGCTAACATCGTATGCGCGGCTAGGGCGGCGTTTCACATTACTCCGGATGGACACGTTCAGTTCAAGGACTGGCTGCAGTCTATTAAAAGGTAACAGAATTCGAATCCTTTAACCGAAACATAACATAGTTTCCAAGATGGCGTCAGTTTAGGGATTCTTCTATGGTATTTCACTTGAGAATGAATTCCAGTAACAGTATTATCGAATGAAGTTGTACAAATACTTTTTTTTCGGCCATTGAAAGCTTGCCAAGTAATAAATGTTAAATTACCTAATGAATGCAACTCTGGAAGAAATGAAGAAAGTGGGAGGACTACATTTATGGTTCCAGATCTCAGTCCTGTAACAAAGATCTGTGGGCACAAATCAACGCGGCGTTACAGCAGAATGGCAAATGACACAGAGCGGAGCCAGGCGTGACGTGGCTCAGCACCCTTCCTCATCCACCACCACCACCACCGCCACCTCCTCCACCGACGACGACGACAACCCTCGTGCTTCAGCATCAGCATCCCTGTCATTCTCATCCACAGAGCGTTGTGTGCGTTCACGGGCTGGCTACCGTCGACAAGCTAGATCAGGATATCCATAATGACGTGCATCATCGACGTACGACCGTCGCGTCGTCAGCGGGGTCGATCTCGAACGACCATCGGACCATCAGGGCTAGGGACGGCCGATAATCGCCTCGCCGAATTCACAAATGCGGAAGCGGGGAGAGGAGAGATCGATCCCACTGGCGGGCACAGCCCACGCGTAATTCTCACTTCGGTTGATATGTGTCTGAAAGAAAGAAAGAAAGAAAGAAAGAAAGGAAAAAAAAACAGAAAATGACTCACTACTATAACTTGTGTAATTAAAGCGAATGCCGTGTGAATGACAGATAAAAAAGAAAGGCAAACAGAGAAAAGCAGGAAAAAAGAAGCGTCGTCAGGTTTCACAATTTACACTTCCATCGTTCACCCGACCGTATCCAGGAAGATCGAAAGAGAGGAGAGATGCGATATAAACGGATAGTATATGTATTGTAGACGCGTCGTTGCGTACGTCGACCCGCTGAAGGCACCATCTTCTTTTCTTTTCGCATAATAGAGAACGGATAATATACATATATACACACGCGTACACGGAAAACGAAGAAAAGGAAGAAACAAACGGTTAACAAAAAAAAAAAAAAATACAAGAACGGGGGAAAAAAGAAACAGAAAGTGATATATTATTATGAATGTTGAAATGGAATCGATAAATCAAAATTTATTAAGGTTTCTCTCCGGACCTGCGCGCGATCACCGGCACACAAACATATTACATACACAGAGAGACACGTATACATACACACGCGAAAAACAGGTACACATGCAGAGGACACTGTACTTTCATGAAAGGAGTCACACACACACACACACACACAGTTGGTTCACGAACACACACGCGGAAATCGTTTCTTTTAGTTAAGGACATTGAGACACGTGTTTAGCCGCGATTAGATAGGAAATTTTATTTTTCATTCACATAGATAGGATGAATTCTTGCGTCTTATTTTATTTTTGTAAACAAGTAAACAAATTTTAAATGCGATAACGTCTATTTATATAACGACGATATAAGGTCAGATCCATATAATAAGTGATAATTACTTAATATTCTCGTGGTCGACGAACAATTTTTATAGAAGTAAAACGCGTTTACTTTTCTTCTCCCCCTTGATCCCTCATAAAACAAAAAAAAAAATGGTGACCGACCTCAATCCGAGACCACCTTTTTCCCAATTTTTCGTATAAGTACTTTGCTATCGATTATACATTTTATTTCCCTATTAGTTTTTTTGTCTTCTTTACTTCATTAATCTTCTTTTTTTTTTATTATTACATCGTAGGCGTATATTATACACGTTCGCAAAACAATATTCTCGTTTTTTGTCATTCACGACAATCCATGAACGAAATGATCTCTGTAATTTTTAAATTAAAATAATTTGAAATATAAATAAAGCAAAATTATAGTTGATGTTACATCTTCGAACTTGAGCCACCCGCCCACATAGCGCCAGTCCTATGAATATATAAACAACTTAACATTACAAATTAATCGTTGTCGAAACTTTCCGCAAGAATCTATCTGCTTTAATCTCGTATCGTTTCCCCTCGTTTTTCATTTGTGTTGAGCGATGGCTATTTTGAATTACACATTCAGTTTTCTTTTTTCGTTTACATCTGTATGAGTTCGGTTCATCGTTTTAACAGATCGGGCGATCAAACAAAAAAAAAAAACGTACCAATCAATAAAAATTACTGTCTTCACATTGTCACGATCAGCTAAAACTTATCATACAGGTTGATTGAATTTTATGAAATGGGGAGGATGTTGCTACATATTGATTTAATCTTAACAAAATATACACTGATCAAGAATTCCTCGGTTTATTACGAATTACATATGGTGCGTCTTGTATCGTTAGAGATGAACGAAAAGTTTGCTTTTTAGAAAACAGTACATAAATCTCGTTCGAAATCTCAGCGAAATATGTGTGCCACGAACGTCCAGAGAAATCTGTAACGACGCAACGCTTTTCAACGTCCAATTATGTCAGCTAATTTACTCGTTTAACTTCTGAACTATTTCAACGAACTGCATTTCGTGCGATATCCTTCGACAACAAGTCCCAAAGCACAACGCGTGCTCCGTTTTCAACGGTGTTGGATTATCGAGAAAACGGAAGAACTAGGTTTTGTAAACTGCGCCCTCGACTGTGCTGCTTCCACGCGATCCTTTGCATATTGTATTACGAGCTTCGTCCCGTTCTCGCTTTGTTCTCGCCCGGAATTTGCGGATAAATAATTCCCGCACGACCGCGAACAAGAATTCGTGAAAACGTTCCTCGTCGACCGTAACGAGAAATCGCTGGAGTATTTTCCACGCAACACAATCGTGTTCTTTATAATTTAATAATACAAACCAACAATAATGTTCCAAATTCGATATTCGTCTTCACATTTAAGATGAAAACTGTTGAAAAAATCGAGTAAAATATTGCCAGCGAGTGGAAAAGATTTGAAATTAGTATTCGAGGTTGGAAACTTGAAACTGATCGTTCGAAACTATCTTTTGTTAGGTGTCTCCTGTAACGAAACAGTAGCGATTATACATAGTTCAATGAGATTAAGAAGTAGCGCAGTCAAGATGGCGGCTTCTCGAGGATCCCGTCAACTATTCCTCGAACCCTCGGTTTTTCTCGCCTCGGTTCAAGTCTTCTTTTCCAATTTTTTTTTCCAACCAATGCCAAGCGACGCACCGTGTCTGTAGATCGTAAGAAAACGAATATAATGGGGGATCGTCGAACGAAACGAGGGGTACGTGACGAGAATTAAGAGTAAAATGGCACTGCCACTAATTAACAATACCGCAACGACGGTCATGGGAAGAGCAATATTAAGCGTTAACGCGTTCCGACGCGATATTACGAGTACTGACAAGTGTAGTTATCTTCGTGTGCCTACGAAGTTGAGGCTCGAGAACGTTTCGAGAACATTCCGACGTTCCACGAATAATAAACGACACAGTGGAACTGTTATTCGATAATTTAAATATTTAATTTTTTGCGGCTGGACAGGAGTTGAGAAACATTTAATAATAAAAAAAACAGGCCTTCTTTGAAGTTTGTCAGCCAATGGCCTTCCTGTTCTTTCGACTCGAATCGCGATAAGTATCGCGTTCTATTTAACGTCATCGGTTATTATCGTTTATGTAATTAAGCGTGTTTGGTTCATCGCCTCTCTAGATTATCGGACAACAATTTAGCGTTATCGATAGAATATTCGACATTGAGTTTACGTGATTTTTCTGACGCTACGAAAACAAAGTCTTCGACAAACAGCCGCCATATTGGATTCCGTAGAACGCGTAATGGCTTGCCTGATCTTAGAAAGATTGAATTTTTACTTCATTGAATGATCTAATTTGTGGTATTCTTAACAACAATCGTGACTCGTGTTGTTTACGTAACATAGTTTATTTAATTAGTGAATACTTCAGACTGTCCAACAAGTTACGTTATCGATGATTCTCGAGATTGAGCCGATTCTCTTCTTTTCGAAGCTCCGAGATGATATTTGTCGACAAACAGACTCCATATTGGATTCTGTGGAGATGTTTATTCGTATACTTGTCTCTGTTTTTCTTTTCGAAACGAACAAAAAAAAATAATCATCAAACTGTGAGCCTTAACTATCGCCGTTTCCCTTCCGCTGGGGAACAACCAGGCAAAACGACATTGTACAAATAATTCATGTCACGTTTCGTAGGCTACGGATTCACTTAAGATAAATGTTTCGCTCGTAATATTTCGTATACGGGGTGGTTCTAAGCTTCTGAACGATTCGAATCGCTCGCGCGACCATGCTTTCCCTTCGAGAAATCCATTATCCGTGCGAATAACAAGTAACGCGTATAACTGCAATAAAAACAGGATGAAAACAATTTACTTATAAAGCATATTTCGTTTCAGTTACTCCCGTTTTCTGTGTCTGTGTCACCAAATTACGTTGACAAAAATGGGACGGGTGAAAGCGGGTGGCAAGTTTCATAAAAAGAAAATTGTACATTTCATTTACAGCCGCCCCGTATGTACATAATATAAATATGAATATGAATTCACAGGCTCGTGAAACGTGAGATTCGTAAGCGACGTGAGTGCTGGCGAAAATATAGTTCGATCGGGAATCGACGTGACCGCAGCAATCGCGTGTATATGCGTCAGAGATGGTACGGGTATTTAAGAAAGACAGGATAATTCATAATTCACGATTCGCTATCCGTTAATACCGATCTTTTTTTTCCACAGTTAACACTGTTATTATCGACAATTTACTACTTCCATCGCGAAACGACAGAGCGAACAAAATTGAGGGAAGTAGAAAACATGCCGGAAGAATTCTCTTTTTATTATTAACACCAAACAATTACCGACCAGTGAAATTATTTCTTATCTCTGGTGCACACGAATATAATCGTTGCTGCGGTCGCGGTTAATTCACCCGATACTTATCGCCAGGACCAACGTTCGGTCTAGGTTCACTTCTGCGTGTTGTGCATTATAATCGATAGCGTCTATCCATAGGCGTAGAGATCTCACTAGCCTATATAGCGTTTAGAGAGGACATACTAGGTACAGCATATATTTAGCGATCCGCAAAATTTTTCACTCTCGAAACGGATTGCAGCGGGGAGGGGACGAACGTGGCGGTGGACGGGGAACACGGGGGACCTTGTGAAAATAAAACGGTTCAGACGAGGCATCCCGATTGGAGGGGCGAGAGAGAGAGAGAGAGAAAGGAAACGTAGAAAACTGATAGATTTTCGTTGCTCGACACGCGTTCTAATCATGTTCCCTTTAACCGACGAGTGGCGAATGGCTAACGAGGCGCGCGCAACCATTAAGCTCGACCATGAGTGTGTACACTTGATGGAAAATGTGCAGTGTGGTCTTGCAAATCTTCCGAACATTGGGGACCATCGAAATTGATGGAAGTAATGAGATCGAAAGTAGAATTCGATGTTCGATAATAGAAATAAACGAATGCCAATTGATATTTGTGCTTCGCCTTGTAGGTGAACGCTTGCAATGTGTCCATTTTATGACCGCAATGCATCGTTTCCATCGGGTGTATACGAGCGTGCGAATAACACTCGCGTTTCTACTCGAAACAACGTGGAAATACTACTCGCGCAATTGATTTTCCTTGTTATTCGTGGTCGGAAAGTGTTCCTACGTGGTTTTCGAGAATATAAAAAGCGAGAGCATCGAGAACGAGCAAGTCAGGAATTATTGCATCAAGGACTTAGTAAGCTCTAACATTAGTCTTGACGATTAGACGTTATCGTGTTAGGTAATTTCGTGTCGAGGACTCGCAAGTCTGGTATTATTGTGTCGAAGAATTGAAAGTATGTCGAAAAGTATTAGAGACCTGAAAATTCTGTCGTCTTCTATTGGAAACTTGAAGTCAAGTATTTACGTAAGTGTGAAATTATTGTCGAAATGATTATTTAGTTACGTGGACTTGCGAAACTCAAGGTGGTGCAACGTTTTGTGACTACTACATTAGTTGTCGAAAGAAAAGGATATAATTT